GTACCAGTCACAGTTGGACTTGTTCTGGGAACAAGGAGAGTGATGTGTGGCTGGATGAAAGAGAAGATACGTACACGGTGCGGAGCATAGACAGTATTCAATGGGGATGTAGATGGGGTGGAGAGACTAGCCTTATTTTAAAGTTAAATCTATGTATTTTTTTAGTAAGGTAGTGGATTAAAGAGGAAAAATGTGCTCGAATACTTATTGGAGTTGAATACATATTGGAGTTTGATGTCAACAGAGTGACTTTAAGTAAACACAGAAAAAATCAAGATGGAATTCTATTTCTATTATGGACATTCTAGGCAGTGGCGGAGCTAAGGTTAGTGCCAGCAGTTCATTGGCGTAGCTAGGGTTAGTTCCATTCGGGATAAGCACAGATTTTTGCCGCCTCTTCCAAGAGTTAAAAAAAAAAAATACAGCTAGCCGAAATTGCAGCCCTTCAATATAAATCAACATGGTGCCAGCCGGAGAACTTTTTTTTTAATTCTTAGGTGCAGTATAAATTATTAAAATGACACATTGTTTTTCTTTCCAAATGGCAACTTAAGACACACCAATATCTGATCTAACACTAGTACTTTAAGACACACCAATTTCTGATGTAACCCTAGTACTTTAAGACAACCAATTTCTGATGTATCCATAGTACTTAAAGACACACCAATTTCTGATGTAACCCTAGTCCTTTAAGACACACCAATTTCTGATGTAACCATAGTACTTAAAGACACACCAATTTCTGATAAAACCCTAGTACTTTAAGACACACCAATCCACATATTATAGGCCTATATAGCCTGTTTTCATCGTCTGTCCAGGAACAGAAAGGGTTTACCTTAATATTGGCGTACGCAGCTGCTGTGAGTGCGTTTCCGGGAATTCCCAAGAACACCGACATGCACAGCATGACAAAGTAGCAGACGGAGATCCATGACGGAATCACGGGCAAAGAAAACTGCAACCTGGCGACGCTATTTGGTGGCGTCGACGCGTTGAAAGAGA